TTTTTTATCCAGATTTTTGATTTAGCTGAGAATATATATTATATACCGTGTCCAACTGAATGTATTTTTTTGCTTTGTTTTTTTTTTTTAAGTTTGTCTAAAGTAAATTATTAATGAATAAAACTGAACCAGGTCAATTTGAACTTAACCATAATCCACCTATTGGCACTACAAGGTAGATAACATTCAGACTTTAACCTGAATCTGTATTTTTTATATTAAATCCAAAGGGTGTACAAATATTATGACTGCACAAATACTTTGAGAGGACACGCTTAAAAGCACAAGCAACTGAATATTTCAGCTATATTTATGTCTTCCTAGAGTTCCGAGGATACACTATTCCTAAAGGAACAGTTATCATCCCAAACCTCTGGTCAGTACACAGGGATCCCACCGTGTGGGAAAATCCTGATGACTTCAATCCAGGCAGATTTCTGGATGAACAGGGAAAAATTCTCAGGAAAGACTGTTTTATTCCATTTGGAATAGGTATGTTTGTAATCATGTAACCTGGAAACCAGCAATTTAACATGTTTAGGTTTTATGCTAATAACTACTTTTCCAACGAGAACTTTGTTTAAATGATGTTTTGTATATCTGGCAGGTCGCAGGGTGTGCATGGGAGAGCAGCTGGCTAAGATGGAGCTGTTTCAGATGTTTACCAGCCTGATGCAGGCCTTCACTTTCAGGCTTCCTGAGGGGAAATCTGCTCCATCCATGCACGGACGCTTTGGCCTGACTCTGGCTCCATGCCCATTTACTGTCTGTGTGAAAGCGCGCTGAACAGTCTTTAAAAAAGAGGCATTCCTCAAACAATCATCACTGGGAAGCAAATTGCATGGGTTGTCCATTAAGAAGAATTTTCATTTGGACCATAAATGAAGTAAGGGCCTTTGTGGTTGCATGATCAAGCAAAAGGTCTGAGATTATTTTATGTAATTTTTTATTTTTTTGGAACAATTTCAAGAAATAAGAACACATACCTAAGTATTATGTCAGCATATTTCAGTTTTGATTACATTTATTTTAAAATATTCATTTCATAATCCAATAAAACCTAATTGATTTTTTTTTTTTTTTTT